GCTCAGTCTGTAGACGCAATGGAGGGAGACATGCGTGACAGGGCTAACTCTAATACTACCATTACATTCTAAGTTCTACATACTAAGGTGCTGAGTGTTTGAAATTTGTCACTTTAAGCTGTTGCGGGTCGCTGTCGCAAGATGCAGCTAACGCATGACACAGCTTTAGAGTACAAATACTCACAGGTTGTAAATTTATTATTTAAATAAGAACATAGTATGCTATCATTGCGTTGATGAGAAACTCACTTACGTGTAAGGTAATATGTGCATCGTTGAATATTTATGAATTAAGATTAAATGTGTGAAGTTATCAGAAGTGGAATGCCCTCATGAGTAGTACCTTTTCCATTTCTATTGTCTTAAGAGCAAATGTTTGCAGTTCATTAAGTCAGGAAGTAGTTGTGCACAGTAGAAATAGTACAGGATATAATTAGTTTTAAAGAAAGCCTATATTTTAAAGAAAATTTACAGCTTTCATAATGTGAGAGAGATGTTTCACGGAAAGAAATACTAAGATAAGTTTCACAATCCAATTTGAGAGTATTTTTTTTATAACTGTGATATTTTTTGAATTGTGTATGTTTAGATCAGTTGACTTCCAGAATACATGCACTACATACATTTGATTTCCATGTCTTAGTTTATCTGTTCACACACTCTAAGATCTCACAGCCCTAGGTTAAATTTAAACTCATTTTAAACATTCATGTACGTTCCATCCTATTATGTGCTTACTGGTGGGTGGTGGTTTTTGGTAAGGCGGGGGTGGCACTATATATATCCTGGGAGGAAACATCGAAACTCCGAAATTTTGCTCTTCAAGTTGGTTTGAGTAAAACTTCTACTACAAACGTGCAGTCATTTCCTTCTCTATTAACGATATTCGCATGGATAATTTTGTGCAGGGTAGAAGTGAAGAGGTTCGTACTTGACAAGCGCGCAAAAACTGGCATCGAACAGCCCGCCAGATTCGAATGCGGCACAATAATCAGCACGCCGCTGGGATTTATGTCGAGAAATTCAGAAACAGTGTCGAATATGGGTAACCGTATCAGTCAACGAGAACGTTTGACAACGCCGATGTGCATTTAACTGTACAACATAATAATTTTCTTGACATTAATACTACTGTGTTTTATCGAGAATTGATATATATTTTTATTTTATTTTTTGAAGGTAGATTAAATCCTACATTGTTTCCTTTTTCGATTTCAGGATGGGGTTATCAGCCTATACGTGTGTATGCTGGTATTATTTATTGTTTTATATGTTATTAGTATCTTTACCACGAATAATAGGTTTATTGAGTTTTTATGAAATGAGTGAAACTTTATATTTATATTGATTATGAGGTAGTGAAATTAATATATATGTTTAAGTATATATGTTGCGTTTTTAGCGAAAATTCATGTATTTATGACTGCCAAATGCTCATGTTGTCGCTCCTATTACTGGTTCTATGGTATTGGAAGGTGTATTATTGAAATTAGGAAGTATAGGTTTTGCGTCTTGCGAGTTTTTAGAATTATAGTATATTGTTTAAAACATAATTGTTTAAATTTCTATTAGTCAAATAGTTTTTATGTATTTAGTATGTTTACATAAGGTTGGTTTGAAAACTGTCATTGCTTATTAGTCTATTGTTTATGTAGGGATTGTTTTGAGTGGTTTGATGACTAAATACTTGTTTTTTGTGGTTGTAATTTGATAATAACTGGACATGGATTGTGTTTTGGTTTTGTTTACCTAATATTGTTTATGAACGATTAGGGAGTATTTTAATTATTAATAAGGGATTGATATGTTTAATAGATTAGCATTACGATTATTACGTAGAACCAATATAGCAGCCTCTCCTTCGAATTTATTAGCGGAAATTAGATTAATTTTAGAGTAATGTCATCAAACTTATTTAGAATGTTTTTGATTGCTTTTATATCATATTTTGGAGCCGCCTATAGATTGATTAAATTTATCGTAGGGAAGTGGGATCTTCGGGTGTGAGAACGGATAACCCAAGACACGTACATTAAATGTAAGAGTCTCATGTATTCTGGACGTCAACTGATACACTTACACACATAACAAAGCAAAAAAGCACAGTTAACAAAAAATACACTCAAATTGGATCGTGAAACTTATCTTCGTATTTCGTTCCTTGAAACAATACTCACACATTTTGAACGCTGCCAATTTTCTTTAGAATATAGTCTTTCTTTAAAAGTAATTATAACTAACCACAAACTTTGGGTATTTGTACTCTAATGAACTCTCTCTGAAGCTTTAATCTAAGTATTCCCACAGTTTCTACCGTTTGACTGCTCGACAGCAGCTCGATTACCACGTTTCTAGCGGCCGTGAGCTGGTCGTAACACTTTGGGATAATTCCGTCGTTTACCTTGCGCTGGGTCGGTGCTCGCCCTGGCCTCGCTGTTTCATCGCCGCCGCGCCGTGACCTTGCACTGAGCGCAAAAGATTGCGCGGCCGACTGCGCTACGTCTTCGCAGACGTCGTCGGAAGTTGCTGCTTCACTCGCCACGCACCAGATTGAATCCAAAATTCCAGCTGCTTCGTTCTTCTTCGAACACCGGGACACGCTCGTAAGCCTCTACTTCTTTCTTCCTTCGCCTCTTACGCAGAGAACGCCGATGTTCCTTTCAGTCCGCGCACATATGAACAGCTAACGGCATCGTTTCTCTTGGTGTCGCTTTCACTACACAATAGAAATTTTTTGCGAAATTTAGCGATATCGTAATAGGTCTTACCGCTTCTCACTATATATGCATTACGTCAAAACTACGTAACGGTCCACTTCGGCGCCAGCGCACAATCCGACCGCTTAGGAAACGGGGTAGCGACGTACGGGCACCGCTCCTATTATTTATTTATACGCTAGCCCGACCATTCCAGCTCCCACCCCCTCGACGTACTGGCAAGAGGGTGTACGACATTGCGACGCGGGGAAGTCCCGGCAGCGAGGGCTTTAAACAATTACTACAAACAGACGCGTACCAGACCATCTGCGCGGATTCTTTCGCGCAGCTACAAGCTCCCCGCTTGCAACAGCCACCATGAGTGAAAGCGTTGTAGCTAGAATATTCGAGAACTTGTCCATGATTGGATGAGAAAATAATACTGCGCAATTGATTTCGATCACTTACAGTGTGTGATTTCTACGATGAAGAGAACTTTAGGATTGAGAGTAGCATAGAAGGGGTTGGCAGAGACCGGCGGGAGAGAGTTTGGGCTACTAAGCTGAACACATCGCGAAGTTAGGGGCCGCATCCGTGTGCTGCGATTCATTTTTAACTAAATCGAACTTGTAAAAAACAAAACGGATTAGATGTGAATGTGGAGTTAGGGATTGGAGGAACATTAGGAACGCGGAACGGCAAATCACTTGCTAATGTATTGTAAATTGTGGTGTGGTGTAAAAAGTGGACAAACCCTTTTTAATTTGGAAAAAAACATAGACCATCACTAGGATGTATTTATTGCCGTTAACTGTTCGCGGTAGAGGCCCCTAGATGTGTATCGCGAGCAATTTTTATTTATTTATTTATTTGTAGAGGGATAATCGCGTGCATTTCGCCCGTTAACTTCCAGTAAGGATATTTGGTCGTTAAGCACGTTTGGCATTGTGCGATGACGCGTCGTGCATCACGGGCCATCCCCTTCCAATAACATAACTCTTGAATATATATCAGAATTGTTCTTGGACCATAGTGGGCGTTCTTACAATGAACATCTGGTACTTTCGCCTTTGGAACCCATATGCGATACGCCGATGGTTCAGTCCGCACCCTTATTGTCAAAAGTCCATCTATCACGCACCATTTTTTCCGGATCCCAGTCGTGCCTTTCTTTTAATGGAGAGTCATTCCCACGCCCTTCTTTAATGCGCTTAATCTCGTACATTTCTTTGTCCTGTTCTCGTCAACTAATAACATTGGCCCTATCCCATTCAGGTTGTTCGGGAATGTTTAATTCTATGGGCGCAACAAATAATTCTTTCCGAGGTTTAGATAGGGGTGACCTCTCTTCCTCGCCTACTTAAATCAGACAAATGATTCTTTCCCTGGGCAAAGCTGCAACGAAAAACTGAATTGCTGGAGCGAAATAATCCATCTTTTCCATCGATCATTTTCTGCGTAGCATCGGTTCAGAAACTTGAGGGATGTGTGGTCAGTTCTCACTAGGAATGTTCTAACAACTAGATACCGCCGTAGCTTCATTATCGCCCAAACAATGGCATAGGCCTCCTCCTCGGCTACAGAACATTTTCATTGTTGTCCTTTGAGGTCTTTGCTTATTAGTTGTATAATTTTGGGCTGGCCGTCATGCTCTTGATGTAATACCGCTCCAACGCCATAGGCATTGCTGCCCATTTGTTCCTTTCGTAAAATCAGGGTGAGCGATAATGCACACTTCTCTTAAACATTTTTTTTTTGTCGTTAAGCGTCTGCTAATATCCATCATCCCACGTCCATTTTTGCTCCTTTTTAAACAGTTGGTACAATACTGCTACAATTATCGCGTAATTCGGACAAAAGCGGTTATAATAATTGAACAGGCCAAGCATACCATGTAACTGACGTACGTTTCTTGGTGCAGGAATTCTATTTAAAGAACTCTTCTTTCATTTTGACCCTTTCCTGCGACACCTCATAGCCCAAGAAATCAAAACTTTCTACGCAAAAGAACGTTTTCTTCAAATTCAACGTAAGATTGTTGTTAATTAACGTCTGGAAAATAACTGCAAATCGTACTAATGTTCTCTAAACGTCTTAGATTGAATGATCATTATTGTTAAGCTGCTGAATTTTTGAAGTTGTTCTTTCTTCTGATGTCCGGTACGTCAGTTATGGAAAGAGAAACAACGCAAATTTACTCCAGAATGGAGAATGCGGAAAGGAAACATGAGACTGTAATTTTGAAGATGAAAATGTATGGAACATATCACAGAACTAATTCAACACTAGAAGAAACAATAGGAGTAAACAGAATTATTCAAAAGCACCATTTATTTCTAAAAGTGAATACATGACCTATGCATACATGCAGATCTCTACAGTTTACATTACAAACTGTATCATCCAGACAGTGGCACACGTTATCACTCAGTAAAAATTATGAAAAGAGATAATTTTTGTAATCACAGAAAAACACTGTTACGTGAACTACCAACTAATACTTCCAAGTTATAAAAATAAGATTTTCTAGGTGACAAAATCAACATGTTTATAATGTTTACATACATCAAAGACAACCTTTTTTTTTCTACATCCAAGTTTTATTAGCTCTTTCTGAAAACATTCTTTTCACCACAAAAACATTTCAACACCTTTTACTTTGTCAATGAAATGCATGTAAAAATAGAAATAGAGAAGACTGAACCCCACATTTCTTTGCATATAAACCAATCTCTCATTTCTGAAATATTTTTCTTTTAGGTCGTAGTTGTAAATTGTGTTTTCAGTGTCTTTAATGCAAATATTCCAACCCATTTTTTGCAGGAAATTGTAAATAAGGGTTAAATTTCTCTGTGCACAAGTGTTTACATGCAGCTGACAAAACTGCACACACAGTTTAGTAACAGGCTCGTAGACATCAGCACAATTACCCAAATATATTTCCATGTTATATTACATTTATGAATATGCAGTTTTATGCAGTAGTTTTCTTCAATTCCACCCAAGAATGTTCTATGTGAAACTACACAATATATAGTCTCTTGCCATAAATACAAATTATATAAATTTGTTCGTATTAGTTTTTAAAGATAAAAATGAACCGTTTCTTGGGAAAGGAAAAGAAAAGAAAAATCGATCCATCCTTTTCTATCAGATATGATGCATTGATAATTCAAATGTTAAGCTGGATGAAACAAATATCGTCAAAATTACAAGTAAAATATACATATATAGTGCAAAGCAAATAGAATCTCTTGTTTTAATTTTTCTCAGCCAAAAAACGAATGGATAGTTAAATTTACACTAGAACAAATCTGGTTGTTCTAGTGTAAATTCAAGAACTGATCATAAAAATACTACCAGTATAATACTAACTAATATTAGCTCTTACTTTACAGTATCAACAAAACAAACTTAAAGAACACTATCGTTGGCTACTGAACATCAGATTCCATATTAGAGTCCCATCTAATAACATGTATAGTAAATTTTCTCTCACTTACAGTAATTGTATCTAAAATTATGAAAGAACTCCAAAAATGTACATTAAGAGTATCTATTCAAAGTAGTATTTGCTTGCAAAAACAATTCAAAAAGTTAGGGTTTTCTAGACAGTGTATTTCTAATAGCCAATTTAGAGAAATGTGTGCATGCATCTCATAAGGGCATTATGGTAATGTACAAAAACTGACAAATTACAATCAAGCCATAACAGAACTTCAACCAGCTGCCAGTAACTCTTTATTCTACACTATTTTATTCCAATATGTGTTGATATTTTCTATCAGTCTTGAGAATCTACAAAATTAAAGGATTCAAAATACATAGATTTTATATAGACATTGTTCCTAGAACATACAAACCAATACATGATTGTTGCAGCGCCCTCTGATAAGTGAAATAACTTCAACTGTTAGGAACTAAGAAATATTAATAAATAAAATATTCTGATCAATTGGAATGATGAATGTAGGACGCTTTCACATTTTTTTAAATTCCGCCAAGAGCATTTTCTAACACAATCTTGAGATTTTGAGACCTAAGTTTGAACATAATTTAACGCACTCATTACTGTTATTATTTAGATAGATAAAATACATACATTTTCAAAAAAACGTTTCAAACTTCGAAAATAATTGTTTGACACAGTGCATGTTTGAAAATGTTGTGGACACAAGTGATGGACACTAATGTTAGAAGTGCAATATGAAAACACAACAAAAAGTATCAGTGACTAATTTCTTCATGCTTTGCCAGCGTGCTTGAACATTATCAATATTTTCACCATGCAACAAGAAGACTTGCATGTGGTCATTGGGAGGAAATCAGTAGCGAGGTGTCCAGTCATCAATAAATTATGCGATGACCAAGCAAATTAATATTTAGTTTTAAATATTTTAATTACGAATTGGATAATAAATCAATTCATAATCATATTTCCACAATATTAGTTACGAAACAGGTGAGAAATATTTGTAAAACAACGAGAATCATCCAAAGGATTTGTTAAATTAATGCGTCAAATTGAGAGCTCTCCATCCGCTCACAGGGAGTCAACTGACAACAGTGTTACATTGCTTTATGCAAGGTGATACACACTCTTGCTTAATGCTGTATTTGGAGAATCTTGGATGGTCAATGGTTTCTGGCCATGCCTGGTGAAACGTGCCATTCAAACTGTCACTCAGTAAGAACTTGCAAGTAAAACTGCAAGATGTCCTGATTCTTGGGTATTTTACCATGTTTTAGTCGAGTTATCAGGGTCCAATTGATCAAAAAAAAAAAACCCAACAACAACAACAACAACTTAAAGGTGATGTCATAGCGAAGTTGAAACAAGAAACATTTGGTTCAGATGAATTCAAAGAGCATTTGCCAGTGCAGAATGGCTGATCTAGTCCTTTGTTATAAAATCCAACAACTGAAGTTACCAAAGAAGCAAAGTTTAAACAAGGCACTTCATGGGGTCTAGTTATGTTTAGAAGGGTCTCTGTCGAAGTAAGCACCAAATATCAAAGTTCTTTTGAAAGTAAAAGGCAAGGCCAATAAAAATGTTTGGATTTCAGCTGGATTTAGTAAATAATGTTTTCCCACAAATTCAGCTTATGACAATTAGAATATTTTTTATCATATTGACTGCAATCCAACGAATTTTAGTTTCCCTCCCACATCAAATTTGAATTCCATCTTACATATATGGCCATTAGGTTGCTAAGAAGATTTATTGGAATTAAAGTGGAGAAATAATATGAGAAAAATTAGCAGTGTCAACAGGAGAGAAAAATGTCAGATTATTATTTTGAATATCCCCATCTGCAAGAAACTTCATAAACATAGGTCTGGATACTTGACACATACTGTGACTTCACCAAAATGCCAAAATTACAAAATGTCATACCTTGCCAATGGGGAAAACCTGTGAGCACATTAAATAATGGTGTTTTCACATTCATGCTAAAGCCCTCTGGGAAGATAAGCTTGAATGAATCCTCCAGAAACTTCTGATTTCCACCGTACAAATGGTATTTTATACATTTTATGATTTATGTTTTCTGTAATTTTGATAACATTTGTGAAGTTGGAGAATTTTTTTTTGTAAAAATAAATGTTGGAATAAATAAACATTTTATGCAGTGAAATACTTCACGTACAGTGAAATACATAATTCACAGCAAGTGTAGTAGGCCTGGAGAAATCACCACAGAGAAGCATCTTGCATGAGGTATTTGATTTATATTTGTTATGCATTTATCACATGTTAAAATTAATTACAGGATAAATTTCATCTACACTTAATTTTTTCATAGGCAGCTTAATTATTACATCCAACCACCATGAAAACGGCTATGCCCTGAGAAGATATGTTGAGATATTGCTAAAAATTCATTTTACCAATGGTAATCAATCTGTGTAGTGGCACTATGTTATAATAAGTTTCTATTCAATCAAACTTCAAACCTGTCGAGCTAACAAGAATACGAAGAAAGAAGAAAAAAGTTAATGATGAATTGGCATCAAGAAATATTTCCATCCACCATTCTATTCCTTTTAACTTTGATTACTTCCAGTAAAATACTTTCTACTAATTACAAAAAAGAAGACTTTCAAAGGTAGAGGCATCAAGATACCAACAATAATAATGAAAACTATAAAACATTGATTTCACATAAGTTATATCACAAAATTCCAATGATAATGTCACAGTAAGCAGAGTGCATGATTGACAAAACTGCACAAAACAGTATTATGCAAAGTAAATAAAAAAGTGAAAAGGCTTACTTTCCATGTCACGTTATCAAACTATAATAGCACCAGTCATTAATGCAAAAGGGACACTTTCAATATACAAATTTACAAAAATATTTTTCCAATTATGTAATCGGGAAAATCATTCCTTCTGCACACTTATAGAAATACCTTCTCATTGCATAAGATGCAATGGAAACTCTTGGTGAGATACATAATTGTACAAAGCAAGAGAAGGAATATAATAGATAAAATTCTATATTTTACATTATTAATGTTAACCCGGGGAAAGGCTCAGCCACTGGGCAGGTGGAGAGTGGCAGGGTTTGTAGATATGCACACTAGGGACGGTGAAGAGATCAGAGTCACCCTGAACAAAGGAGGCCTCCACAAATCTCGGCCCTCCAGATTGGGGGTTGGAGCAATATGCCTGCACCTCACTATGCAGAAAAAACATGAACTTGCAAAAAAATTCGGTTTCACCTAGAAATGGAAAAGAAAAATTTATGACGAATCCCGCAAAGGAAACAGTACTTGAATATTGGATGTGGGAACATTCAAGGCATAAGAACAAAAAAAAGAGATGTTTTTAAAGAGCTTTCTCTTCACAATTTGCACATAGCAGTGCTGAGCGAGACACAAAAGAACGGAGAAGGAAAAAAGAGCAAGGGCTGGTGTCTCCATAGCCGAAAAAGTAATATAATAGACTGGGCATACATAAATGAAAGAATTATTACCCTAGAAACACAGATATTTGGGCATATTTTAGTAATAATTGGGATAAACAACCAGAGGATAGGATATACAAATGGATGATTTAACCAGAGATAAAAAGAAGATTTCTTCGATTGTATGACAGAAACATTGGATAAAATAGGTAACAGGAAAGAAATTTTACTCTTTGGATATTTTAATGGACGAGTAGCAACTAAAGAAAATGATAATGCGATAGGAAAATATGGAGAGGATGTATTAAATGACAATGGCATTAGATTAATAGAAATATGTCAGGAATACTTCTTAAGAGTACAAAATGGATTTTTCCAGCATAAGGAAATCCACAAGTTTACTTGGTTTCAAGATGCAACGGGATTGAAGTCTGTAATAGAGTATCTAGTCTCCAGACAACACACTACAATAAAAATCATCGATGTAAGAGTAAAACTAGGAGCCATCTGTGGAACAGCCCACCATCTACTGAAAGCTAGTGCACATTTGACGTACTGTCATTATAGAAAAAAGAAAAATGAAGGAAAGCAAGATCACAGGATGGACCCAAAATACAACCTAGAGGGTCTTAAAGATAAACCAATGGCATTTTTCTACTATACAAGATTGGCAGAGAAAATGAAGAGCACACACAAGAGAAATCCTGAACAAATGTATGAACGATGAAGATAAATATACATCAAGCAGCTAAAAAAGAAGCTTTGGGAGAGAAATAGGTAAAAAATTAAACAAATATAAATATTTGGTGGAATGAAAAATTAAATAGTAGAAGGTAGTAGAAAATTAAAGAAAAAATTAAAGGAAATAGTAGAATAATAAAAAAAAGGTCATCCAAATATAATTTTGGGAACAGAAATGTATGGAAATAGTTTGTTAGGTAGCTCTAGAGGAAGAGTAGCTTGGAAAATTATAAGGACATTAAATACAAATAAGAAAGAAAAATTGACAAAAGATCCAATTGAACAATTGAAATAGAAAGAGTACTACAAAGAGTTACTTACAGAAAACTGCCAACAATTTTGTAATGTGGAGTATAACCAAAACAAAGACTTAAATAATATACAGATAAAGATTTTAGTTGAAGTGAAACAGGAACTAAAAGTAATAAAAAATAACAAATCACTTGGTCTTGGAGGTATTAAAAAATGCACCAGATGTAGAAATAGAATATCTTATGGAAATGTATAAAAGTGCCTGAATGGAGAACAGATTCCAGAAGAGTGAAAAATTGTTTATATAAGTTTCATTTATAAAAAAGGAAATAAACAATACACAAATTTCAGGGGAATTAGTGTTACATCTACAAGTAGACTGGACGAGTTTTGCAAAAGAAAATTGAAGTAGAGATAAAATAGACGAACATGAGGTTTTAGAGCAGGACATTCCTCTATAGATAACTTATTTTGTATAAAACAATCAATGGAAAAAGACCTTAGTTCATGGCAGTTAACTCCACTGGCTTTTTGTAGATTTAAAGAAAGCTTATGACAGTGTGCCAGTGAAGAAAATGTGGGAGGCAATGGCTGAAAATGATATCAACCCAAAGCACATAAACGTGGTTAAACACTTTTATGATGAGCTGTGTAAAGAACAGAGAATAAGATTTTTTGGAATTCTTCCCAGTGAATAAGGGGTTAAAACACAATTGCTGTTTGGCACCCACTTTGTTTAAAATAAATTTAAATACAGCTTCAAGAAATTGGTCAAGAAAATGTAGAAAAATGGGAGTCCAAATTGGATCAGAAAATATTTTTACTTTACTGTTTGCTGCTGACCAAGTTGTGTTTGATGAAGATGATATTATCTATATGACTAGAAAGCTTGTGGAAGAGTATGAAGAATGGGGTCCAGAAATGAACACAGCAAAAACTGAATACATGGTACTAGGATGTGAGGGACAAGATTTAAATATTGAAAGGGAATATAATAAAGAATACTTCTAAATACAAATATCTTGAAGTGACATTAACACAAGAAAATACAGATGATTGTGATATCATACAAAAAATAACAAGAGGGCGAACTATAGTCTCAAAATTACATTATGGAGCCAAAACCTGAGAATACAAACAAAGAAACATATTTAAATCACTGGTTGAAAGTTGTACAATATATGGAGCGGAAGTCTGGACTTTAAACAAAAATATGAAAAACAGAATAAATGCGGTAGCAAATAGCTTTTGGAGACGAAGCTGCAGGCTCCCCCTCCAAGATTGAATAAGACCAGACGTAGTAAAAGAGAGTAAATGTAAAAGAAAGTCTGACTGGTGAGATTGAAAAACAGCAAGTGCTATGTTATCTAAGAGGTATGGGTATCTAAGGAGAATGTAGAGACAAAGACTACCTCTGAAACTTTGCAAATTGATTCCAATAAAAAGAAGGAAAAAAGGGACCACATGTAAAATGGAAAGACCAGATATTTGAATCTATGAGGGCGAGAAACATGAATGAAGACGCGTGGAGGGACAATAAAATATGGCAGAAGAATTTGCAACTGATGGCATAAGCTCTAAGTGTAACTACTACATATATAAATGTTAATACATCTAAATAATTCTCATAATTTTAAGCTATATACTAATCATAACAGGCAAATCTGTTGCTATTTCTTTAAGCTGGTGTTAGGTATTATGTTGTTGCCTTTCTTTTCAAGATATGGAATGATTCAAAACCCAAAAGCGTTGACTATAGAATTGGAATTCTGAATAGATTTAATCTCCAAATTTGGAATAAAATTATATCTTTATAAAAAAATCAAGATAAAATAGCCATTATTAAGACATCTGCACAAATGCATGACTAGAGAGATGCTGACATCAACCACCTGAGAAAAGAATGAAAATACACAGAAATAAGTAGTAGTAGAAGGTAAACAGAACAAATAGCCAAGTGATGAGAGTGAGTAGATGGAGAATGAAACCAAAATAAAAATTCCCTGCATTTCAAGCAAATTCAAAATCACACACACCTACGAAACAAATTCTTGACATTGAAATAAAAAAATAGATGCAGAGCGTAGTAAATAAAAGCAATTACTGCAAGATTAATCCAATGAAAATAACAAATTATAATTAAAAAAATTAGATGTAGTAACATGTTTGAATTGTGCTGTGGATGTTCATTGTATTATTTATTTATTTACATATTCAATCCAAAGATTCAAAACCATAGCGAACATTTCTCATTACTATACCTTCCAACACTCCTAAAAATGTATGCCAATTCAACAACATAGGATGAAAATTATGTTGAATGAAGCCCAAATCACTCACAAATGATGTTGAATGTTTTTAATCATTAAGAAACATTAACCCATTCTATACATTACCAATAACGTGTTTTTCATATTGAACGTATAGAACAATAAGATACATAAATACAAGTAATAACAGGTGACTAAAAAATGCCAAAATACTAAAATATAGATATCACTAAACTAAGAAACACTGAATATATTTCAAATAAAACAGTATACCTAAATAGTAGAAATGCACGTGGAAGAATTTAATGAAGAAAATATACCTTGCACTCGCACAGGAAGGAATAACAATTATGTACACTTGTGTAGAGCCAGAACACGAAACAACATGGAGTAAGAAAAATGTATAAATGCCAAGACCACAGGTTGTACAAACTGCTTAATCATTTCTTGCTCATCATTCCTCCAAGCCATCTGATATTCTCATTTTAAAACTTTCCTATCAACCCAAGAAATGATCAACTACTACTGGCCTTCAAACACTGTAACCCAATGTCAACAACTTAAAGAACTTAAATGTATTTACGCACTCCACATTCATGAAGACTCCCACACCAACACAAGGATGTTTTCTAACTTTTAATACTCATTGTGGTAGTAGGCACAAGCCATAGTGCAGTCATTCACTGCTCAGACCTTTCTAGACGAAGCCACTGCATCTGTTCACGAGCAAGTTCCTGTTCTGCTCGCAACTTCTGCTGATAAAGAAGCTTGTAAGCCTCAGCAGCCTGTCGAAGCCTTTCTCGTAAATCAAGAACCTCCAATTCTCCTGGTGTTTTCATTGCCAACTCTGGAAGACCATCACTTGCTTGTGTTGCAGTCTCTCCACGAAAGGCCTGTAATTCACATTATAAACATATTCATTTTTTTATCTGATCAAAACATTTGTTTGGAAAGTTACTTTATTTTCTCTTTTTTAGATTACACAATAATTGATACCCTGATATTCATCCACAGAACATTACAATACAACATGGGCTAGATTTTCAAACACTGGCTTAGGTTTTGGTATTTTGATACCCGCATGGTGTACGTATTGACATACGGAAGCACTGTATTATGCGATTTTAACATGGCATTTTTGCATCATCATAAACTTTGCTTAATGTCCAGATCAATCTTTCTGAAAAGATGAGGGAGGGGGGAGAGGAGGAATATATTATGTTCTGAATTTTAAATGTTCTAAACTACAGACTTTTCCTACGTTTTCTATTCTTTACTTTTTTCCTTCTTCTTCTTCTCCCTTCCTTTATTCTCCTGAATTCCCTTAAAGCAATATTGAAATTGATTTAGAAATGGTTGGTTCAACAGTAAAACCAAAATTTATTTAATCAAATAAAATGAGAAACTAAATAATAATTTAAAAAATAATTCATATTCACTGATCATTCAATGACTTCTTGATTTGCAAGAGTGCACCACTTCCATGCAAAAAATTTAAAATGGGCCTATAGTAAACTAAGCAGTCACTATCTCAGCATTCCACACATTGTAAGGATGTTATTGTGAGGGATATGATGAATGCAAGCCAAACTATTTCTGCCCATGAGTCAAGACGATGACCACTCACTGTATAAAACAGGTCGAGTGTTTGCCAAGATTGGAAGCTGTGTCCATGTCCACATGCAACTTTCATTATCTTGTGGTAACACAATAGCTTATCAGAGTAGAGATAAGAAAAAGGTTGTTTGTTTAAGGATCAAAAGCAAAAATTTTCAAACAAAAGCTTCTTTTCAAACGTAAGTGAACCAAATAATTTGTTGTTTTCAATAAGCAAGTTTTCTTCTTCAAGATCCTTCACAGTGCATGGCAACTAAAAAAATCCTAAAAACACTAAGAAACTCAGAAGAAACTCAAAAATTAGGATGCACATGAAAGCAATAGACCATTTAACTCAAGTTCACATCATGATCCACTGGCGTGTTTCACCACCATGACCAGTGCTCATATTTTATAAGTACAGTGGTGAGTGGAGTGCTATCACTGTGCAAAGGAATTCAACAAAGGCCAGATGGGTCACCATGAGTGTCTGCGAGCTCTCAATACAATGCAAGACTTTGTGAAATTTTAAAATTTTGGTCATCGACTAGAGCAGGGCAAAATGCATTCGATAGGCCTTGCTGGCTTTGCTTTCGCAGTCTCAGCACCTTGGAGGTCACTCGCTTGCTTATCTGCCTTTGACATTTTTGGTCTCCCTCAAAGATCGGAACTGTTGAAACCACTCTATTCTTGGCTGTTCTGGCCAGTATCGGCACTCGGCAGATCGACTAAGCAGTTTGCTGGTAGTTTTCACGTTTCATTTGTGAGAAGCAACATGAGCTCAGTAACCAAAGAGACCGTACGAAATAATTTAGCTAATAGAAGCAACATATTAATGAACAAGAGCATGCTGAATGAATTTTAAGGTTCTAGAATTTTGTACTTTTAAGTAAATGAATACCACAAAAGTTTGGCACCCTGTTTGATTTCGTTTACGGATTTTTCCATTTAGTATATGGTGGAAAGTTTTTCTCATTACAGTATCTTTCCATCATGATTTTGTATACTGTGGTTTTGATTATCTACATCGTAATCATTTGTTTCCGGGAAAACAACACCGAAAAGTGATTACAGTGTGGCCAGGTGTTCACTTGTTTTTACTCTCTGGATGTGTTGCTCCTTGCAACGGAAGAATTAATTCAACCTTTAGTAATTGGGAATACTGATATAGACGATGTAAAAAATACAATTCTGCAAGCGATTTTAAAACAAAATAAACCCAGAATTACAAAATCTGTAAAATTAGGATTGCTGGATTTTAAAGGACATCCCTGTTTGCAATACCATAAGAATTTCAAAAATCTTCCCAACTGTCTTCATATCAAAAATCTTCCCAACCATCCTCATATAGAGTGGATGCTAACACTTCCTTCAATAGCATACATTGTGTTTTGCAGAAAGCCGCAGTCAACTTTTGTTCCCATTCTTAGTGTACCAAGAACCCAAAATAAGTATAACTGGCAACTGATTCAGTATACATTATCAAGCCTCACTTACAAAACCGAGCCTAGTGAACGCTTATGTTTGTTACAGAGACAGTGATTAGTGTTGCAGGTGTCACGTGCCAAAGGTGGATCCGTAAGTGTCATCATGCTAAAACTCATGCATTCATGCATTTTTTTAAGAAAATACTAAGATCATAAAGCAGAATGTTTGTTGTCCAGTTGCCATAAGCAATCCTTTCTGAGAAATCTATTTGGCAACAAAAAATAATGTGAAGAGATATCAGTCATTTGGGTTCAGACTGTGAGGTTTTAGTTCTATCAAAATTTACAATTTAGTGTAGCAATTATTCCAAATAATACCTACCTCGTTTGCTACCACCATTTCTTCAGAACCAAGTTTTGAAAGAGCCTCAATTGTTTCAGTTTTTTGTTGGTCTAGAACATCTTTAAACTCTTGCAGTTCACTCAGTTGTTTCTCCAATTCATCCCGACGCTGACATGCACTTTCTAGGCAGATATCCTTTTCTTGCATCTACAAAGAAAAAAAATGATTAAAGATGTGGCTTCACGTTATGCTTTCTGGTGATACAAATATTTAATGTCTTCAGATAATTTTATGTGCAATTGTTGATGTCTACTCCTCAACATATTTCTCATCTTAAGAATTAAAATGCCTTTACCTCATACGGTTAAAAGAGAAAACTGCAGGTAATATAATATAACATTCTTAATACATTTTCAATTTCTATTCTCTTAATTCTACAGCTATCTCTTAAAAAACTCTTGCGCAAAAGGATTGTAGGAAAGCATAGCACACTGCATTCAAGAAGAAAAGAGAGATAGCCTATCCTGGGATTTGAACCACAGACCTTAGCATTATAAGACCAGCGAAGTTCACGTATGTCAGATGCAAAGAAGAATACAGAACTTGAGAGTTCGAGAAATTTTAAAAGAAATTATTTGGAGAATTGGCCAGCATCAGAAGCCAAATTGCTTAAACACACTCCATAATGTCACAAAGGTTATAAAACTTGCAACAGCATGTGTTCCTGGATGGATGCACATCTGGGAATCATGAGAATCTAATGACACAGACTGTGGGTGAAGGGATAAAAGACGATGACTAAGTGAGAGCGGGCGGATAAGAAGAAACCACAGAAAACTATTAGAGGAGCCGCTCACTAGAATTGTCTCTCAGAGAGCAACTGAATTCGACAAAACTACCTAGAGTGTCAGAAATCATGCCACTAATGGTACTCAAAACAAGAACCTCCTGGTTAGAGACTCCATAGAGAGTTTCTTTCTTTCTTTGTTTGTTTGTTTCTTTGTTTGTTTGTTTCTTTGTTTGTTTCTTTCTTTGTTTGTTTCTTTCTTTGTTTGTTTCTTTCTTTGTTTCTTTCTTTCTTTGTTTGTTTGTTTCTTTCTTTCTTTGTTTGTTTCTTTGTTTGTTTGTTTGTTTCTTTCTTTCTTTCTTTCTTTGTTTGTTTCTTTCTGTGTTTGTTTGTTTCTTTCTTTCTGTGTTTCTTTCTTTCTTTCTGTGTTTGTTTGTTTGTTTGTTTCTTTCTTTCTGTGTTTGTTTGTTTGTTTGTTTCTTTCTTTCTGTGTTTGTTTGTTTCTTTCTTTTTTTCTGTGTTTCTTTCTTTCTTTCTTTCTGTGTTTCTTTCTTTCTTTCTTTCTGTGTTTCTTTCTTTCTGTGTTTGTTTCTTTCTCTCTTTCTGTGTTTGTTTCTTTCTTTCATTCTTTCTGTGTTTGTTTCTTTCTCTCTTTCTGTGTTTGTTTGGTTGATTGATTGAATCTGTGAGGAATGAGTCCGTCACTAGCTCAGATGCAGTCAAATAGATACAGAAGTATTAAAGAAGAAAACACTTTGGTTTAAGAACCCCAAATTTTTTTGTAAAAATATCAATTTTTTTGCATACATTTGTTTGAAGTATTATTTTATGGCCTGAATGAGTGATTCAGAATATCTATTTTTCCATAATTGAAATATATATATTACAAGTTTACCTTCATTTCTGCTGTTTCCAATTCTCTGTGGTGTAAAGAAGCTTCTTCTGAGTTACCACAACCTTCAGCGTCAGTTATTTGGCTTTGCAGTTGATGAATTCGGTTTGCTAAGCGTTCCTTACTTTCAATGAGACCTTGTTTTGTCTGCTGAAGCACTTTCATTTCAGCACGTAATTCTTCAATCTCATTACACACCTGCAGAGAAAAAAAAAGTTTAGAATTTGAAGAGTTAAACCACATCACAACAGATTTTATCCATTCCCATGGGAGTCTCTGAAGTAGTCCTCTAGAAATGATGGATGGCAACCACCATGCACAAATGCCCTTGAATACTTACAAGGTTTATTTTGGGCATTATGGTGTAATAGACTACAACAAAGAAGTAAATTTTAACAAATAAGCAAGAGAGAGTAATACAGTAAAGTTTGTATAATTTTGGAAAACGATTTAATTTATTACAGAAAAATATTAAGATGGTTTTATACCTTACACGAGTAATGTTAAATAGCTAAGAAGTTGAAAGGATTCATTTATCAAGACAAACACAATTTGTATATCTCTAGGCACTTTCCAATTCATTTTATTTTCCTAATCAGGCATATGTTTCAAAAGATATTTAGCAATTAACTCACCTCTTTGGTACGATTCTGAACATCTTCAAGACGCTTCTTCAAGTCTTTAAACAGTGCATCTTGAGCCCCAACCTAATAAAAAAAATGATAAACTCAAATAGAAAATAGCAATGTAAACAGAATAATTCACTGCTTTACCAATGAAAATCACTGCTTTACCAAATGACATTTCTTTATTAAGGGTAGAACACTAGTAGTGACAACTAACAACAGAAGTAGCCCCTTGGTGCACAAATTTGAACAATATGAATTAGAGGCTCTTACTTCAAAGTCTCAGAACGTTCACCTTATGTCTTCTACTGATGACTATTAGAAAAAAGATAATTTATTTCTTTCCCTTAATTTTATATTTAAAGAACTAGATGAAACCATTAATATTTTCATTGCATTAATGAAAATTATGAAACAGTCCTTTTTTGGTCTCAAACACATTAAAAGGGGTAGAATATCAATTAGACGTTACTGATAGTCTAGCATCTGACCACTACCAAAATTTTGCAATTTTCAAGTGTCTACTTCTTGAACGAAATTGAAGTTTGGAAAAAATTATTAAAAAGTAGATTGAATTAAAGGATTAGCTATTTATAGGCACCAAATCTATTCAGAAAGAGATACGCTAATCACCGACTGAGATTCACACAACACGATTAGTTCTGTACCCAAGATATTTAAGAAAAATATAATAATATTTTTAACTGTGGTCACTACTAGTGCTGTTACCGTAAGTCCACACTACCACTATGCAACAAAATCACATACTTTCTAGTATTATTTGAAACAGATACTGCACTACGATATGAAGTTTATTAATGGGAAATCACTTCTGCCATTAAATCTAATGTATTGTGCTACATTCTTACGAATACATCAAGGAACAATGGTTTGCCTGAACCGGCAACTAAACCACTACAGAAGCAGAGCAACACATTATCATTGCCAACAACCCTACATAGGAAGGAGACTTTTTATATTATATTTTGCAGCTAAAAAATACAAAATAAGGCTAATTTGGAAATTAGTCGATTAATTTACACATTAGCCACTTGCTTTGGATAAAGCAGCATGAAAGTCAATAATTTTGACATCATACACCTAACTTTTAAATTAGCCACATATGGCCGACTAAAGTAACTTGCATGTTTCATGTTTCTTGTCAGTTCCTTCGTTGGTTTATGTGCAAATTTATATTTGTTTTAGAAATCATATTTGTTCATGGAGGCAATTGGTTGGAAATACATGGTAAAGAATAAGGTAAAAAAAAAGAAAGAAAAGAAAAGCTCAATTTTGAGAAAATATATTTACAATTGCCTATATTTCATGCAAACTTAATATTTTTAAAAAATTGTAAATAATCCAAAATTTTAAATTATCTTTGAAACACAGATTTCATTAAGAAAAAAATCTATCTTTAAAATTGTGCATGTAGGAAGTCACTACAATTTTTTCAACGTTTGCAATTTTTTTTAATTCTGAGAATTAAAAGAGAGAAAAAGAAGAAGAAGAAGAAGAAGAAGAAGAAGAAGAAGAAGAAGAAGAAGAAGAAGAAGAAGAAAAAAGGTACACATTTTTAAATATACAGTGCTCCGAGATAAAAAATTAAGCCATTTCTGGAATAATTTTGAAAATGTTGATTCTTTGTGTAAAGTGTTCTCTTCCGCTCGCTCAGGATCCGCATCGCAAAGGATCCGCTCGCAAAGGATCACCATAGGTTCACAAACATAACGTGAATTCTGACCACACGACCTATTAGAGAAGGATTTGCTACATATAGGAATAAGATTTATCCATTTCTTTATATCGGTGACATGCAACATGAGTTTTTCATTAAAAATTGTCACTTTTTGCTGCAGCATTTTAATAAGTTCTCTGTTGTAAGTGCGTAGTAGACAAGAAAGATAAAGGAACTGGACTTTTGGTGAGAGGCAGCCAGAAAGAATCAAAATGATTGAAATGTTTTGCATTTACATAATGGGTTGTGATTAGTGGTCAATACTCGTGGTTACTGCACAATCAACTGTGTATGATATGAATATTAATAGTGTGTGAACAGAAATTGACAATGTTGCAACCTGCCAAAATGCAGAATGCTGAATAATTTATGAAGGAATAATACTTACATCATGGGTGTACTGTTTCTGGTGAGAAACATTCAAAAGTAGTATAATAAAATGGAATTTGATTATTACTTCAACTTTAACTAGGAAGTATTGTAAAATTATTGATGCAGAAATTCATATTTGTATAATGTAAATTCAAAATAAATTTTAAAAAATAGCTTCTTTCATGACTATGTGAAAGCATGAGAAACAGACAAGCATGAGAAATAGCAATATTTTAAAAGATGTAAGAAAATTTTAAGAAATAAGAGTGTAATTTGAGAAATAATGCACCTGCAGTACTTAACTCCAACATCAGATTGATTCAGCACGTCATGAAAACCTTCAATGCAAGTTAGTACTAAAATTAATACTAATATTACACTGTAGGCAGTTTAGGCAGTTCAGGCAGTTCAGACAGTTCCCTCATGGATATAGTCCTTATATTTACTAAGAACAAAAAATACTATGAGTTTCCTATTCACTCATATTCTGCAATTATTCTTTAGGCAAGTAAATGTACATAGTTTCTTCCAGTTAGAATAGCACACAGCAATGGTGGACCAATCATGCAAAAGGAGACCTATTGCAATTTCTCCCGAAAAGCTGAAGCAATACTAGTTTCATTGCTTGAACAATTAATATAAATCATATTCTATCCACCTTCTTCTTCAACGAAAACTATTTTTCCTAATTAAAATTTAGTTTCACTACAGTAGTAATATTCTGGAACGACTTATCAGTTAATTCCCAAAATGATAATCTTTTGAAATAATTGTATTAGCACAGTTTTTCAGATCTGAAAATGTATAAATGATTACTTTCATTAGAACTTTCAATCATGATCCATTTCCTCCCTTGCTGTGTAACAAAACATTAGACTTAATTCATATTTCACACAAGTAGTAACAGACAACAGATTACCATTTGTTGTGCTGAAGACTGCAACTCAACACCTGGATTCTGTGCTGGCACAGGAATCTGCACAAAACTATTGGAGATCAGATTATCATTAGATGTTGAACAATCTGATACTGCTGTACTTGCTGCTAATATTTCCAGATGCTGCTTTTTCTGTTGAAGCTCATCTTGAAGAACGTTCACTCTCTTTTGAAAGAGCTATGCAGAAAAAAATTAAAATATACTATAAAACCAATATTGGTTTAGAACAATAGAACTACATATTTAAACTGAGATAAACACAAAGTTGCAGACAACTTTTTGCCAACAATGAACCACACTCAATACATTGGGTAATACTTGGATTATCATTTTAAAAAGTAAAATCAAACTGTCATAATTACTTTAACTTGAGCTTCAATTTTATAGTTTTAAAATATTAACTTTCTGCAATTATCAAAAATAGAGTTCGCCAAAAACGGGACTAGCACCGTACTTGTTGTCAACCTTTGCTACAAACGAGGAGAGAATGCAAAGAAAACATTTGGGGCAATCCCGCCTGCAGTAGGCGCTGAGTAGATCGAGTAGTTCAGTAGCCTCCATTCCTCGCCCCAAGCCCGGATAAAGGAGGAGGATTGGAGCAATGGCCTTTGTAAAAACTCTCTGAGGTGCATTCTCCTCAATACAAAAGCCTCGGATGCAGACAGTCAACTGAAGGAGACTTTGGTGACGGAATAGGACTATCTCTATTGGTAAATGGAATATGCAAGGTTTGAGACCGAAACAGGCAGAAGTTGTGGCAGAAATAGATAAATTGAAACTGGATATTATAGTCCTAACAGAAACCAAAAAGAAGGGGCATGGAAAAGAAGTACTAGGAATCTACTATCACATCTGGAGTGGAGTACCAAAACCACAACATGCAAAATCCGACGCCTCTATATTTATAAGTAATAAATACAGAAAACATATTCCAAATTTTGAACAAATGAATGAAAAATTTATCAAAGTCGAAATAAACATTCAGAACCAAGTACAACTATCACTGGAGTATATGGTGTTAACAACAATGCTTTAAGTGAAGGAAAAGAAAATTTCTTTGGTGAGGTTGGCGATATTATGGAAGAAGTAAGCAAGCAAGTTGAACTAATTGTCATTGGGGATTTAAATTGTAGAGTTGGACATCATGAAAAAGGGGTAGTTGGCCATTTTAGAGAAGATATGGTAAACAACAATGGAAATAGACTTATTGATCAATGAAGGGAGCAAGAATGTGTTGTAACAAATATTATGTTCCAACATAAAGACATACATGCGAAGATCCCACAAGACGATGTAAATCAATTATAGATTTAATGATAATGAGGAGGATAAGAAAAACATTATTAAAGGATGTGCAGGTTTATAGACAGTCTGAATGTGCCAGCAACCATCACATGGTAGTGGGAAAGGTATGTTTTACCAATATATAGACAACCGCTCCAAAAATAGACAAGGAGCTAATAAACAAAGAATTTATCTTCAAGACAGACCTCTTGAACCAATATAGTGTGAAAATGCTCTACCTAAATAGACTGGGAAACAAATTGAATTTGGAAAAGGAGGACAATCCTACAGAAATGTATCAACACTTGAAGGAAAGTATTTTGGAAGCACCTAAGGAAGCCCTTGAGGAAGTAGAAAGAAAAAAGAAATATACGGAAAAGTTTTCTGAGAATTTAGAAGAAATGATTCAAGAGATGAAAAAGGCATATATGAAATGGTTAAATGACAAAACACCAGAGTCAAGAGTAAAATGTTTTGTTTCAGCAGAATGTGAAATTAGTCTTAAGAATAAAAAAAATGAATATTGGGGTAGATTATCGACATACATCGCTGGAACTGTAGGATGCAATGAATCATCTGAATCATCATAAATCATGGAAAATTATGAAGAAAATGAAAAGAAATAATGAGTGTAAAAGCATGGTACAAAGAATCCCCTCACAAAAATTGATACACCACTACTCAACGCTTCCACAAGAAAGCAGACCAGAATGTGAAGGAAAAAGAAGAAATAAGAGATCTAGAGGAAAACAATTTTGAAGTAACGGAGGATGATGTTAAGAAGGCACTATTCAAAGCAATAACCGATAAAGACCCAGAACCATACAATTTAAGAATGGAGCTTTTGAAATATGGCGAAGATGTGGTTGTGAGATACTTAAAGGAAATGTTCAATAAGACAGAAGCAGGAGAGGATCCACTCACAGAATGGAATATGTTGTTCAAGTTCTACCTAGAACAAGCCCTACATAACTGGTACAGGAAATGTTCAGGCATGGGAATAAACATTGGAAACATTTACTCCCTTTTATTTGCTGATGACCAGGTAATCTTTGGTCTAGATGAAGAAAATATGGTGTATATGCTAAGAAAGCTTATCGAAGAATATAATAAATGGGGATTAGAAATTAATTTTAGTAAAACTGAATGTATGTGCATTGGACAAGTATTAACGGATATAGACGTGAATGGTAACAAAATTAAAAGCTGTAACACCTTCAGATATCTTGTATCTTTAATAAACAACGCGGGTACATGTGCCATAGATATAAACTCCAGAGTAATTATGGGGAAGAAAGCAACCAAAGCTTTACACAGCGTATTATGAAATAACAATATCTGCCAAGATGTCAAAAGAAGAATATTCCACTATGTAGTAGAAAATATAGCACTATACTGAGCGGAAATATGGCCACAAACATAAAAAATAAGAGATAAGATTAGGACAGTAGAAATGGACTACATGAGACGATGCCTACAACTTACTCACTGGGACAGAATGCAAAATGAAGAAATATCGACAAGGATGAATGTAATTTTTTCTATTACGAAGGCCTTGGAAAATAGAGCACTACAATAGTGTGGACATGTTCAGAGAATGTCTGAAAACAGATGGCCACACAAGTAGCAACCACCTGAGAGAAGAAGACAAGGAAGACATTTCAGAATGGGAAAAATACATGCGAAAGCTATGATAGAGACCTCAAACCCGGAGACTGGGAGGACTGAGAGATGTGGAGGGTGAAAACGGCAAGCTCCTAAGGGGAAAAAGCCGAAAAAGAAGTACATTTGGGGCAGGTTTTAAAAAAAAATTAAAATTCCTATATTTTGCGCAGAATTACACAACAACTACTCACTTTTGAAAAATTGAACATTACCTTATTAGAAGATGTCTTTAGAGAACAGATTTTATTGAGGAAAAAAAAATCTTTCTTCAATATTGCAGATGTAAGAAGACTAATTCACTAATTCACCCTAATTCACTTTTGCAATTTTCAAGAATCAGATACCTGCACCATTGAAGAGAAGCATCCTTTACTCTATCCAAGGACAGAGTTTTATCAAACAATTTGGAGCAATTTTTGAAAAAATTTGAATATGTTTTGAGGCTTCATGTAAAGTCTCACAAAAACCCCAAAGCCTCTATAGTTTGTTCAGACTAATTGGGGAATATCGACTGAAAAGTTTGGGCACTTTTACTTGTGCAAAAGCATAGTCTAATTTTCTCACCAATGATTAATGTTTTCAATTTGCCACCTAATATCGTAAACACTTAATTAACACAATACCTGCAACTTGAAGAAATGAATAACAGTAAATGTTCAGAACCACTTAACCCAAGGCATGCATTACAAGAAGTGTGGAAGGATCGTTCATCGCTTCTCTCCTTTTTTCACACAAGTTTGTTAAGGTCAGTGCTATTACAAATAAACAGTGGCCTTCACTTTAGCAGCATGATATATACAACTGGATGAGAGTAGCTGAGAAAGCTAATGGACAAGTACACCTATTGGTACAATGTCACCACAATTACACATTGATGTTTCATTTTAAAACAATATTTGTTTTGTGTCTTGTGCAGAATTTTAAATATTGTCATAAAAAAATTACTTTGTTTCTTCGTGATGGAGGTTTCAGGCTTATTCAAAATATTTTGCTTTGGAAAAGCTTCGGAAAAGCCACTTTGAGATTTTTCTAGGGAAGGCAGATTTCCGCCGTAGACATGTTTCACTGTGTGTGTGTGTGTGTGTGTGTGTGTGTGTGTGTGTGTGTGGTT